GCTGGGGCAGGCGACGTGGAGGCCTGGGGAGCTGCTGGGGCAGGCGATGTGGAGGCCTGGGGAGCTGCTGGGGCAGGTGACGTGGAGGCCTGGGGAGCTGCTGGGGCAGGTGACGTGAAGGCCTGGGCAGCTGGTCTGGGACTCTGTGGGACCACGACAGCTGGTCTGGGACTCTGTGAGACTACGGCAGCTGGTCTGGGACTCTGTGGGACCACGGCAGCTGGTCTGGAACTCTGTGGGACCACTGCAGCTGGAAACGTTTGGAGCAATGGCTCTGAGGGCGGAGGGGCGGGATATCGGGAGGACCGGCGCATTGTGCACCTACGGCTCTTCTGAGGTCGAGGGACCTGGCAGGGAGGAAACCACAAATCCTTGTCTTCGTCCGACTCATCCTCCTGATCACAAAAGGGGAACGGGAACTTGGGCCTGTTCATGAGGCGGAGAGCCCAACGCTGGGCTTCTCTCTTCTCCGCCTCACCCGAGAGGACCGGCTGAGCCTGAGGGAAACCGCCCGGCTTTATTGCCATGCGGGTGCCTGTGAATTGAACCTCCAATTTACCAGAACGCCACCTCCGAGTCTGTGCTGGATCCATATTTTGGCCAGATAATTCTGTCAAGAACTGGGGTGGATCGGACAAGCACAGACTCAGAAAAAGGTTTAACAGTTTATTTATTTTTAAAACGGCGGCATCTGGCAGGAGGTTCTGGTTCTGGACCGCTCTGGGGGAGTCAGACAGATTAGTGGCTGTAAGCAGAGCAGAGTAAACAAGAATAAAGCCACTAACCTTCTGTCTCTGGAACCAGTCTGAGATGTGGGCCAGGTGGGTCCCGGTACCGGTCCGAACCTCAGGAGCCAATAACATGCGCAAGGGTGCACAGAGCAGCAGTGCGCAGCGTGAGCAAGAACAAGCAGTGAGGCTGGATGGGTGAGCTGTGACGCTGAGGTGTTTGGGCAGCAGAACTTAATCCAGGGACAGGCAAGGGTCAAAACCAGAGAAGAATCCAGTCCAGGGGGGGCAAAAGCGAGAGCGAAAAGTCGTGGGCGAAGCTATGGTCAAGAACGATGATATGAAGAGGGAAAGCTGGATATCTATGGAAATGATCTATAATTATCTGGCGGCGACTGAGGAGAAACAGGGAGCTTAAATAGTGAACTGAAACAGATGTTGCTCATGAATGTAGATTGCGGTAGATGGTGGAGGGGATGTGGCACAGGGTGACAGGAGCTGAATGAATGAGAGGGGAACTCAAAACTAAAGCAGGAAAAAACGTGAATGATCTAAAAACAGGGGCTGTGGTATGAGGAGCAGAGGCTTAAACAGATGGGGGGGGGGGGCAGCGGGGCCGCTGAGCGTGACATTTACCTGTCTAAATAAAGGTTGAATGAAACAAAAAAGAACCTGCTCCATAATTTTACATAATATGGAAGTCATGGCAATAGGCCTAAAATCATTAAGTGCAGGAGCACTCTGTTTCTTTGGCACTGGCCTTATTATTGAAAATTGCCATGCTTTTGGCACTGTTCTCAAATTAACAAGATACTGGAATAGCTGTGTAAAGACACCTTTCAATTGGGCAGCATATTCTTTTAACAGATGGGCTTTAAGGCCAGCCGGGCCAGTCGCCTTGTTTGGTTTTAATTTAAAGAGGCTTGTTGCTCACTCATCATGCTCATTGATCATTACTGGAGTGTCCAAAGGAAGGTTCTTACACAACTCATCACTTTCTACCTTACAGACAGTCCCTGGTGTCAAATCTACAATAAAATTCATTCATCTCATTTACAGAAAGTTTGGAAATGCTAGCACTGTCATCTTTTTTTTACTGGGCTTCCCCATTAGAATATTCAGTCCCTCCCAAACCTGTTATACATTGCCTGTAATGAATCTGCCCTCTTTTATTTTTAAACTAAATTTTAGCATTTAAAACCTCTCCCCTTAACTGTCTCATTTTCTCACTGCAAATCAGTATCACCAGTGCAGAAAGCAAGTTTCCATTCATTAAGACAGTTTTTCAAATGTTTCGATACCCAGGATTTGTTGTTTGAAAAAAGTTTCACTGTCTTTTTTGTGCACACATTTTCCTCACAGAACTTAATGTAAGTGGTGATAGTATCTGCAAGTTCATTAGGATCTTTGCAGGACTGGAAAAAACATATTCCAATTGGTCTCCTCGAAGCAGTGTCTGAGTTGTTCTTTACTCATATCAGACCACACTTGTTTTTCTTTATTGACAGTTTTCTGTCTCTTTGCCACAGCCCTATATTTTGACAAGAGGTGAATTACGTTGTGGTCATATTTTCCTAAAGGTGTTCTACAAACTGCTTTAAATGCGTCAGGAACGTTACCATAACAGAGATCGACAGTTTGCTTGACACTGGTGGTACAGTCCACATATTGCTGGACAGTGGACAGGTGACAGATCACATGAATTAAAGCCCCCATGGATTAAAATGGCCTGATCGGCAGAGCGAGTGAGTGCCTGGGTAAAACTCTCCACTATTCTTACACCGGCGGCCTCGTTGTTTGGACTGGGTACATAGGGTAACAGTAATCTGCCTGTACTCCCATGGCAGGTAAAAAGGTCTGAATTAAACTGTCAGTATTTCATAGGCTGGGGTGCACACCTGCTCCTGTATGGTGTACTGTGTTGCCCAAAACATGCACATTCCTCCTCCTGTAAATTTGAGTGAAGTGTGTGCATCTCTATCTGTGCGTATTGTAGTATATCCTTGTAGGCTTGGTGTTGCATGGTGCTCTATATGCCACATTTCTGTAAAGCAAACAAGGTTGCTCTGCCTGAACTCACAATCATGGACAACTTTGAGCTCCATCCAGTTTGTTGTTTATCGAACACACATTGGTGAGGATGATGACAGGCAGTGGCATTCTGCTCTGGTGTTTCCAGAGCCTTATTCTCCTCTTGAACCCCACTTCTTCCTGTCTTTCTTTTGCCTCCATAACCATGTCACAGATCACTGGATTTCACGGCAGTCCATAGGTAAACTGATCGATAGTAATCCAGCCTTTGAGTATAATGACAGCAGGTGCGTAGGTATGTACATGAGTCTTGCTGTCCTTCCCAGCAGTTGCTCCCAGGAGCAAAGGCAATCAGACAGAAAAATAGCCATACCATTGCCAAAATCATTTTGCTCATAGATGCACTGGTAGAGACAATTTAGATTCACAAAAAAGTCTGGGGTTCTGCTTCAAGTAATATCCAAAAATCACACAAATCACACAAAGCTCACACGTATTCAGACACAGACAGCACAGGGTCAGCAGCAGGCAGTACCCCAATCAGTATCCGTGTCATACAAACATCATACAATACTGACTAAGATTGTACAAAAGATTATACAATTCTGGCTAAGATTGTGCATTCTCTTGTTTTTTAAGGTTAGACCAAAATGGCTGTAAATCTGTTATTTCTCAAAAATCTGTTTCATGGTAAATTTAATATTTAAAGCCCAATTTTCAGTTCAGTCTTTTCCAGAAATGTTCGGGTTAAAGTGTGATGATGTCACGCACCCTAACCTTTCAGCTGTTCCATCATTTGTTACAAACCTTACACTTCCTGTACAGGATTATTGATCAAGCATCAGGATACTTCCTGTACAAGATTATTGATTATGCATCAGAACAGTTCCTATACAGTTTGTACATTCAGATTCAGGAGGCCACTGTAAATTAGGGAGAACTGGATCTGGAGGAATACACAACTGCTGTCCTCAGATACATCAAGTGCACTGAAGATGTTGCCACCACCAAGATTGTGATGTGCTATCTGAACTAGCAACCCTGGCTGAAAGCAGAGGTCCGTACCCTGCTGATAGCTAGGGATGCTATATTCAGATCTAGTGACACACAGGAACTGGGGAGGGCCAAGAAAGAGCTGGCTGCTGGTATTAAGAGGTCTCAGACTCACCTCACCATCTGAAGAGAAGTTTCTCAGCGTGACCTCAGCAGAGTGAGGAGGACCTTCAGGAGGATTAATCCTCACAAAGTCACTGGCCCAGACAACATCTCAGGGAGGAAGCTGAGGGACTGTGCCAATCAGCTCTGCAAGGTGCTGGTCAATATCTTTAACTCCTCCCTTACCTTGGTGACAGTTCCCATCTGCCTAAAGACCACCACTATCATCCCAGTTCCCAAGAGCTCTGCAGTGACTACACTGAATGACTACCAGCCAGTAGCTCTCACCCAGATAGTCGAAAAATGCTTTGAAACA